TGACTTTTGAAATATACCTTATATAAATACACTTTTTACTACTTTTGTACAATCGTGCACCATTTTAGCTACCAGTGAACCTTTGCAATATAGGTACCTTATTATACTCTTTCGTGCAAGCGTTCAGTGTTTTCGATTCTAGTGAACCTTTGAGATATTCCTTATATACCCTTTATACCAACTTTTGTCCAATTTGTCAGTGTTTTTTTTACCTATATTATTAATACCTACCTCTACTTGTATGATATTGGTTCTTGATTTCAAAAGCTTTTTAATAATAAATTTATACAATTTTTTATTTTGTTTTCTTCAGATTTTACTATATCCTCAATATACTATTTTGAATATAGTGTATCCAAGGATGGACATAACTATACTTGTAAAGATATTTATTTTAAATTGTTCAAAAGGTCTTTTTCATAATTTCTCAACGTTAATCGTATTTATTTAACAAGCAAAAGAAATTATGAAGAAGTACTTTTAAATTTAAAATAAATATTTTTACAAGTATTGTTAAGTCCATCCGTGGACACACTGTATAATGCTGTAGAATGAATTCACATTATAACATCTATAGAAAGTTTCAGAGCAACTTTCAGGGTAAGTACCGTAAAAGTGCTAGTGTGATGTTTTCCGAACTTCACTTTTTAACTTCTGTGAGATGTGCTATAAAAGTCTTGCCGTTGCGGACATTCGGTGGTTGCAGGGATGATAGGGTTACATTAATAGTACATTGCATGCGAGCTTAAAGAGCCTAAAATTGCAGCTTATTAACGTAGATGGGATGTTTTTGTGCTAGCTGGGTTAATTGTGACATACCTACTTTCTCATTTTTGTTAGTTATCTGACTTAGTCATTTAATATCCAAATCAGTGTAAAGGTGATAAATATCCCCGTTTTAAGGGTATGAATAATTCAATTGGAATTAATTTTTATTTCATATTTTTCAGGTGCAGAAAAGCCAACTGAGACTGAGGGGGCTATTATTACTGTTATTTATTACATAATGTAATTAAGAATTTGTATCTTTTATATTAAAACAATAAATTGAATATTTTATTAAGGAACATTTTTTTCTAGGTTATAATTATAATAATTATGGAATACTACTACAAATTTTATTAAAAATTACTACAATTTGTATGAATTTTTACTATTTATTGTGTAAAATGTTCGTATTTATTTTCATAAAACGCAATACATTTTTAATATAAATTCATACAATGAATAGCAAAAATTATAACAATTTGTAGAACAATTTTTATGATGCATTTGGATCTTTTTACTAAATATTGTAGATAATAACTCTACAATACATTCTCCACAAATATTTGGAAATTTTTACTACAAATTGTCCCTGTCCCTATATGTACTATTTATTGTAGAGAAAAAATCTACAATTGTAGAAATTTGTTCTACAATTTTTTTTCCGTGTAGTTTTCCAGCTAGCTCATGAAACAAACCCGAAATAAAAAATTGACTGTTTAAAAAAAATATTTTCTTTGATGACTCCGATTTAAAATCTGAGCTACTAAAAGTGGCCAACGCACACAGATACCATTACGACAAATATAAGGTTGAGGAAATACTTGCAAAATACGTGGTAACTGTTTTACCCTTACCACCATATCACTGCGAGCTTATCCCAATCAAAATGGTATGGAATTAGATAAAGCGCTATATTGCTACGAACAACTTTGCTTTCAAGAAACGTGATATTCCTTCGTTGATGGATGAAGCATTAGAACATGTCACTGAACAAAACTGGCGTAATTGCGTTGCACATGTCAGAGAAAAAACGGAAAAAAGTGGATCGCAACTTTGATTAACCCATTATAAGAGTAGATTTTGGCGAAAGTTTTGAGAGAGATTTCAGACCTCGATGATGACTTACAATTAATGACTTATCTATTCCGTATTTCCGTATTTATTAATATTTGTTAACTTATAAATTTGTAGTTTTGAAATTCATTATTTATTATTGAATACACAAATATTAAGATAAAATTTAAACCCGTGTCGAAATTTGTCTGAGACCGGACCCGATTTTTTTTTACCGATCCCAGCATAGCGACGGCTGGTAACGGCTGGCAACGGCACGCTTCATAAGACTGCATTTCTCTTCTCAGTGTGTCTCGAACTATAGTTATATGGCAATCTATATAAATTTGGGAATTATTGCACAATTTTTTTCAATTCTACATAGGTACATTTCAGTTAGGTACCTCATTTCTTTAAATTCAGAATTTTTTAAAGTACTTTGCCCTTCTTTTTAAACTATCCAACTAACTGGCCTTGTTTATCTTTATAGAAAATCATTTTATTCTGTTGGCATTGTATCATATCTCTGTAATTTTTTGTATCATGATTCCAGCCAAGCAAATCGGGACAGTTGCTCATCTAGGATACATTTTATGTTTTATTTTACACTAAATAAAAAATTTAAACATCAAGTTTTATCGATATACCTATCAAATTCAAGAGAAATCTATCGACTATATAACGTTTTTATAGCCAATATGAAATTGAATTTCTAACCACTATCAGTCATACAACGTAGTAGTACACACTAAATTATTATAGTCGCACCAAGCTATGAATACTTAAGTGGCGAATTTCCGAACATACCTTGAAATAAATGTTACAGCTGGAAAAGCGAAAATTTACTGCACAGTTTTCCCGGTTCGGGCGCAATCTCAAACAAACGAAAATATATTTCCGTCCAAGTTGAAAAAGTCGACATGAGAAAACTCGCAAGCTCGTTTAAGTCGTTCGAGGAGAGCAACGAGATGTATTTGTGGCGTGGGTAGGTTGTAAAGAATAAATCGCATGAATTGGCAAAAGTGAAATTACGTTTTCCATATTTCAGTGCGCAGTGCAGTAAAAATACCCATTCTTAAACTCAATTTAATAATGATTTGTGCCCTGGGAAAAATAATTGAGAAAGTTGTATTTGAACAGTTGGTCGCTTTTCTTGAATCTAATGAGAAAATAATGAATATCCAATCAGATTTTCCCAACAAATATAACTGTGAAGAAATTATACAATGTACACTTGATGAATTGAAATTAAACATAAACATACAAAATAAACGTACTACACTTGCAGTATTTTGAAATTTACAAAGAGCATTTGAGACGGTAGATAGATATAGATTAATTATAAAGTTGCAAACTATAGGTGTTGATGAATCACAAATAGAACAATATCTGAACAAATAAATATTAATAAAAGTGTACCCCAGGGAACTGTATAAGGTCCGCTGCTATTCCTAGTTTATATTGAGGAGGTTGTAAACTATAAAATTCATCTCTTTGCTGATAACAATCTAATTTATATGGCCTAAAAGTTCATGACTATTTTACAACTAGTAATAATAAGTTATATATGTACATATTTTTAATTTTTTTGAATTCCGTTATGTTTACAAAAAGTATTTTGGATAAAAAATGTATAAAATAAATCAAAGTTTATATATGGCAACCCTGTGGGCCTATTGTCATATATAGTTATATAGATTGCTCAAAACGTGGTATTTCCGAGCGGCCATATTGCCTGGCAAGTCTCCATTAATTTGAATCGATTTAGGAAAAATGTGCTTTAAAACCAATTTCCAACCTTAGAATATATTAAAAGTATAATTTCCTACATATTTACTTTATGGCATAAGCTTATGTTTATTTTGAAAAACATGGATGATCAGACTATATAACTGTCTATAGCATTGACCCTATCAAATCATCAAGCCCACAGTGTTGTCATATTATAACCTGTCAGTAACCTGTCATTTTAAACGGGCAGCCATTTTGTTTGGAATGCCTAATAAAAGTAATAATAAAATTATGTTTAAAAGTTTTCAAAAAGTACTTGTTTATTACTTTATAGATGATTAATATTAATATTTAATTATTATGTACCACAACAATTCAATCAAAATGGTTAAATAAATCGTCAGATAAGACTGAAAATAAATTAAAGAAGTGCTTTTTAAAGTGTATGGAAATGTTATTTAAAAAATAGGGAAAATCTTTTTCGTTGATTTTAATTACACTTGGCAACACCGGGAATATTTTGAATTGACAGATATAATTTTAAATTCTAATGAATACGTTTACATAAATGATCAGTTAATAATCCTCGTAAGCTTTTAATATGTAATTTTTTCTTAAAAACGTTAAATTATGGGGTTTCCGGTGGTATATTTGAGAAATACTCCTTCCTAAAGTCTAAAATGTAAGTTTTGTGAAAAAAATTGTATTTTTAAGAAAAGGGCGTCTTCGCAATAATTACTGAGATTTTAACGAACAAAAAACCCACCGACTATTTTAAAAAAGAAGATATTTTGACGTGAGAATTTTCGATTGAAAATTAGGGTACTTTTCCGATATTAAGTTAAATAAGGTGAAAAAATAAATATTTTAAATCTAAAAAATTACAGTGTGTTTGGGACATAAAAAGGTAAGTTCTCACCAAATATCGTAATTTTTTTTTGTAAAAGATAAAAAATTTTTACATAAATTTTGAGGTTATGTGAAAAAAGTGTAAATAAAAAAGTGGTAAATCTTTTTATTACTTAACACTTTGCCATTTAACTTTTTTCCATAGGACTTGTAGGTTTTCCGGAAATCGAGATAAACCGTTTTTTACCCTTAAAAACTCACCCCCCTCCACTTCCCGAACTCAGATCGCCCGTTAATTATTTTTCCTTTTATTTTTGTTATATTGTCTTTCTTTTCCAATGGGTTTCATCCTACTATTTTTTTTAACTTTTTACCATTTTCAAAGGTTTCAGCCTTGGTCTATACTATTTTTACCAATTTTTAATGGAACCCGTCCATTGGTTTGTTAGATGTAGAAAGTGTCCTCGTCGCTGGGCAGCCTGTATAACTACGTTTCATAAAATGACTGTAACATTTTTATAAGGCAGTGCTCATCAACTACATAATGTAATTCTCGCCAAATATCTTATTTTGATTGTTGCTGGAGGCGCAATACATACCCTTCGTTTCGATTTTACTGCCTCAATTTGACGTTGGGTTTTTTCACCGATCGATCTGGATCCCCAGAGCACTGAACCCATTATAGTGTAACAAATTGACATCAAGATCATGGGAACGATGTACGTAATCAGCAGGAATATCATTTGATACCTGGAAACAAAAATTTTAAAAATTAGTACAAGTAAGAAATAAGTTTTCACAACATCAGAATTATTATACAGGGTAGATCGTTTGAATTAGAAGCAGGACTTGTTTCCTTAATAATACTAATATTAATAATAACGTCTTTATTATTTCCAATACATAAAAACAAATATAATTAAAAACAAAATATTAAAAGTTTGAAACTATAGGGCGAAGTTTATTTTTAATTATGTCCTGGACACAATAAAAAATATTCTTTCATTTAACCCTAACTATGTGTATTATATTGCTTTAGTATACCTAACTATGTAGATTTTGCATAAAATTGTACAATTTTCGATACAAACTGCAATGGAAGGACCAGTAAAATGTAACATGGGCAGTATGATACTATAATGCTCAACAATTGAACATGATCATTCTGATTTTCTTGAGATTTAAATTTTAAAATATTAAAATAATCGCACCACTGTATATACTAAGTATCTAAATTCATGCGACAAAATTCAGGAGGTGATTGCTCGTATGAAATTAAGATGGATCTATCCTATAACAAAATATGCTCAGGCCACCCCTTTCCGAGATATCACCCTTAAAAGGTGGTAACTAAAATTGAGTTTTTATTTTTTTTTCTAAAATTTCAGTAAAGCTAGAAACTTGAAATTTTGTAATTTTCGTGCACTTGCAAAGGACTAATTACGGGTATTTTTTCAATATTCCTGTTACATTATAGGGGGTCAAATTAGCAACCCTTACTTTATTTCATATCAAAACTTTTTTTCGAGATGAAGTTTTATGAAATAAAATTATAACTTGAAATCCTTGTTTTATTTAAAAAAAATTTTATTCTTAAATTTTTTCCCAAAACCAATAGCTTCAGAGAAAAAAAATAAACACCATAATTTATAATTTTTTTGATAAATTGAGTGGAAAACAGTAAAGATGTAAAATGTAATACAATTCATAATAAATGCTGGAAATGACCACCTCTACCTTGCTTCGACAATTCATTTACCTTGTTTACTTAATGTTTATTCAAATTGTAGTACCTAGGCTGATGTCAAACACTGTTGTTGATAGTTACCAATCGAAGTTTACTTGTAAGTTTTTAGGTTGTTATTTTTGCGTTATCTGTCTTATGTTTATTTTATAACATATATACAAACGCTGAAATGGTCTATATGCATTTTTTATATGGTATGGCAAATGGTAATTCTCGACAAGCTAGACGTCTTTATGCTGAAAAATATTCACAACGAATGACGCCTTATCATTCCGTATTTGCACGTATTTAGAACCGCTTATCCGAAACTGGAATATTAAAAAGAAATTCAAACAATACCGGTCGTTTCCGGACAGTAAGAAATGTAATGGTAGAACAAGCAATTTTAGATGAAATTGATATACACCCGAAAACAAGCACTAGAAAAATTGTCAACACACTAAATATCAGCCATTTATCTGTGTGGCGTGTTTTAAAAGAGCAGCAGTTATATCCTTACCACATCCAACGGGTTCAAGCTCTTTTACCTAGAGATTTTCCTCAACGAATTAGATTTTGTGAATGGCTAACAAACGAAATGCGAAAAATCCTCAATTTTTAAATAATGTATTATTTACGGACGAGGCACATTTTTCAAGAGTATCTATCATAAATTTTCACAATAATCCCGTATGGGCAGACGAGAAGCCCCATGAGATTATAGAGCACATTTGGGATTGGTATTGTAGGGGATAACTTAATTGGGCCACATTTTCTGCCTCAGCCATTAAATGAAATTTCTTACACCAGTTTTCTCGAAAATTATCTCCCTGAACTACTTGAAGACATCGCACTCAATATCAGACATAACATGTGGTTCATGCACGATGGTGCTCAAATACACTTCAGTCTGACTGCTAGGCAACATTTAGATGCAACATATCCCAACCGTTGGATTGGCCGAGGAGGGCCCCAACATTGGCCTCCTCGATCTCCAGAGTTAAATCCTTGTGATTTCTGTATATGGGTTTACCTTAAATCATTAGTCTATCATTGATATCAAAGATTTGAAGAATCGTATTCAAATAGCATGTGACACCATAAGAAATACACCTCAAATCTTTGAACGTGTACGGCAATCCATGACACGTAGGCTACGTTTATGTATTTTGGCTAGAGGTGGTAATTTTCAGCATTTATTATGAATCGTATTACATTTTACATCTTTACTGTTTTCCACTCAATTTATTAAAAAAAATTATAAATTATGGTGTTTATTTTTTTTTTCTCTGCAGCTATTGGTTTTGGGAAAAAAATTTAAGAATAAAATTTCTTTTTAAATAAAACAAGGATTTCTAGTTATAATTTTATTTCATAAAACTTCATCTCGAAAAAAAGTTTTGATATGAAATAAAGTAAGGGTTGCTAATTTCACCACCCTATAATGTAACAGGAATATTGAAAAAATGGTTAGTCCTTTGCGAGTGCATGAAAATTACAAAATTTCGAGTTTCTAGCTTTACTGAAATTTAAAAAAAAAATAAAAACTCAATTTTAGTCACCACCTTTTAAGGGTGATATCGCGGAAAGGGGTGGGCTGAGGAAATTTTCTTATAGGACAGACCCATCTTAATTTCAAAAGAGCAATAACCGGCTGCAACAGCATCCTCAAACATTACAATTGGCTTAAGAGTTGCAAATATTTAGAATTTTTCGACATATCCACTTAAATTGTTGAGCAGTGTACCTAAAATTAAGCTATATTATGTTGATATAAAAGATGTACCTACAGCTAAGTATAAACGTAATAAGAAAAAACTACATACTATAAAATTGGTAACATAATCTCTGAGTGATTTTAAATTAAATTTTGAAATACTACAAGCTTTTATGACAGGTAAGGTTTGGTTGTATTAATAGAAAATTTGGTAATTAGGTATGAAATACTCCGTGGTGAAGAAAGGCCAGTTAATAATCCTTTGTTTCTTATATTTTATATTATGGCCGTCAGAAAGTTATTTTATGATGTAGGTAGGGTGGCGTTTTACTCATTATTATTTTATTATACAAATTGATAAAAAGTGGTTTTCTCCTACCCTTCTTATTCAACCATCCAGCTTGACTAAATTTGTGAGAAATTCTACAACGCCTTTTCACGCCAAAAATCGTATGCAGACAAGAATTCTGAACTTTTTGGATTTTATTCTGATATATTACACTTAAGTTTGGACCGTAACACCATCCACGTAATTCAATAGAGATAAAACTAATCTTTCACAAAGTTGCTTCGTTACAAAAATAGGGACCGCATGACGTTTTCCATAAATCATTTTACTATTAAAATAAGCAACCTTGTATTAACTTATTTTTGTTTTTTTCTTACCTTAAATCAGAATCGATTATTACTCGCAGGTTGTTTTGCTTCGTTTTGTAGTATACCTACTTGTTTTTTATTATTTATTGCACTATTTATCGAATTAATTACGTTTATGTATATTTGCTATCAAATAACATTAGTTTAGGCTTTACTGGGTTAATAAAAAGACTTTGTGCTCACATGCACTATCATTAAATTATTTTAAGGACCCTATCTTAGTGTGAAATATTCTGAGTTAAAATTATTTATAAGAATTTGTTACCTTGTTTGTAATATAATGATCGTAGCGGCGCTGCGAACATTAAATATTAAGCCGTTTAAACACAAAAAATGATTTTTCGGGAGTAATAAAAATTAAGTAATTATACTACAGTGCAATCCTCTAAATACAGCGACAATCGTTATAAATGTTAGTTAAAGGCATGGGCACCGCCACTTGAGGGCAAGGAGGTGTCTGCCATGGCTTTCGATTATAGCTTGCAGTGTTTCTCTTTCTATAAGACTTGCCCCCCGTGGAACGATGCCCATGGTAAAAGGTAAATTTAAATATGGTGATGTAAATTTTGTTGTTATCATAAATTAGGTTGTTTTCTATAAAATATGTCAATCTGAATAATTAGATATTTTAGCGGAAAATGAAGTAACATTTAAAAAATATCGTTTACGTTAGATTTAAGAGCGCACGTATACTTTTTCGGGTGTAGGAGTTTCAATACTATACTCTTTCCCAAATTATGAAAATACTAATAAATATTTAAAAAAAAAATCTGATGTGTCCAACACATGACTTTCCTATCTAGTTATTATAGGCTTTTTCAGGTTATTTTGTTTAACCTATTGCAACACCTCTATAAATGTTTAGAGGATAAACTAAATTTATACATTTTCCACATACATCTACCTCGAAACATTTTTCCATAGATATTCATTGAAAACGAAAATACTAAAAAAATTTAATATAGCACTTTTCCTACAATTTTTCCATTACGGTCCATTTTAGAAAAATTATGTTCAAACAAAAATTATAAAGATCGATATCGCAACTTTTAGTTCAACAATTTTTTCAAAAATCAGAATTTTGCACATTTTGTCAAATTTCTCGAATACGGACAATTTCAGGAAAATATGGCATAAAACAAAAATTATAGATATAAAGTTAAGGGATGTATCATGTGGTATTGCCACTGTCTATTAGCGTACTAACTACTGCGCTGGTCTGTCTTCTGCCGCTCGTCCATCCTGACACGCATGTGTATGGACTTCAAGAATGTATGGTGGGGAGTATAGAGAAATACCGCTAACATAGATAATAATATTAGCAGTAACTTTTACTTGAAGAATTTTCTCCTCCAAATATAAATAACAGATATATTCCATAAAATATAAAAACGGCCACCCATAAAGTACCCCCCCCCCCCAGATGTTCCGACTTTGTCCAAAATCTAATCATTTTACGTCAGGCCGAAATAAAACTTTTGTTTAAAATTTAATGTTTTTTTCTTTATCCGTTTTTGAGTTTTCTTCAAAATTCGAAATTTATACATTTTCTCAAATATCTCGAATACAGTCCATTTTAGAGAAATTATGTATAAAATAAAAATTATAGAGAATTATATTACAAACAACTTTTATTTAAACAATTTTTAT